ACTGAACCGTGGGTTACATTCTCTGTGCACATACTTCTGAACTAGTGCTGGCTCGACAGCCCGAAACACGTGCAGCCCAGAGTAACGCACAAAGATCTCATAGACGTCCATGCTCTCAAGCAACTCGTCATTGTCCAAAATGTCAGCTGCCATCTTTGTGCGGGCAGCCATATAATCTGCATTGTAAAAGCAGGCTTCTTCAAAGACGTGGCGGTCAAAGTGGCCATCGCGCAGCGCCTCGGACGCAAACGATGAAGCGGCGGAAGGCTGTTGGTCGCGATAGACCAGAGAGGGACTGTACTCTTGAAAGTGGATCGGGAAGAAGACCTGCCAATTGCTGATAGCATTCATACGGCAGCGATTAAGGAAGTCAGCATTGACCTCGGTCCATACACTGGCCAAAAGGAACAGGGTGTCTACTGGATGCTTCTTGGAGATGATGTCCATCAGCTTGACCTGTGAGGGAACTTCAGTCTTTACACTAATCCAAGGAATCTTTACATCACCGTAACGTTTCTCTACCTCACCAATCATGGCTTTGACACCTGCAAAGACATCTGTCTGACTGACTCTTTGGGCATCGAAGGGGTCATACACAAACAAGAAGGTGAGAAGAGCATTGTCATGGGTATCCAAAGCATTCATGACATACATGTCAAGGAAGTTACCCACAAAGTCTTGATCGTGTGCCGTCACAGGGAGGATCACCTGTACCCGTGTCGCTTCTGTTACATATGGCATTGGGATGATCTCGACAGCACTAAGCGGTTTCAGCAGACTCACCCGTTTGGCAATGACCTGACTGTGACCTTTCTGCGTAAAAGCTTCCAGGGCCAAATCCAGCACGTACTCCATGCCCCGTGTGGGATCGAAGCGCCGGTACCCATTCAGCAGACGGCGCTTACGGAAGCGCAACTGAGGCTGATAGCGCTCGTTCAGACGGCCCACTGCCGTCTCCAGGACTGAATTGACATCTGCCCTGTCCGCACCTCGAAGCTCGCACTTTGGAGAGCTGTCGGCACATGAATAAATGTGCTCTTCGGTGAAGTATTCCCAGTTGATCACCTCAAAGCGGGTTTTGGGTCGGAAAGGTGGGTTGATTCCGATGGGCCAGGTGGCTCCGGCTTTGCCCTCAGGAGTGAGCTCACTTATGTTATTGATCTGGTTCTATGGTCAAAACAACAGAATAAGGAGCTGCAATAAATGTTAAACTGGTAAAGAGAACAAGTTCTCCTTTCTGTTATTTTTGATTTAGGCACAGCATGTCTATCAATTGCCTTTCCTCTTTCTTTTATTATGCAGAAAGGCAAGCTTTCTCCTTGAGTCAAAGTCATCTTATCCAATCTAAAGGCAGTTGAGCTCATTTCAAGTTAATTTCCTGCTGTTATGTGATGCATGATGGCTGGCTGACAGCTGCAAACACCTTGCCCCATTACCTATGCAGCATCTTTGCCCAAACATGAAACACTATACCAGGGGTGGCCAACGTGGGTCCTGGAGAGCTACAGTCCTGCAGAATTCAGCTCCAAGCCTAATCAAACACATCTGAACAAGCTAATCAAGGTCTAAGGGTTACTAGAAAGCCAAAAGGCAGGTGAGTTTTTATCAAGGTTGGAGCAAAATTTTGCAGGTCTGTGGGTCTCGAGGACTAACGTTGGCCACCCTTGAACTATGCATCAAAGCTAAGCATTACATTAACTGAAATTTTATTTGGACTAAAGTAATGATTAATCTTTTTAAAATACAATGTAAATTCTAACATGTACATGCGTAGATAATGCAATTGTAACATGTCTTTGTCTAGCATGTCTTTGTTTCTTTGCTCCAAAAGACGTGTACTTAATCCTACAAATATTTGATTACACATTGTGTCATTTATTTAGATTAAGACTGCAGCTTGACTGAGTTGTAGCTCACAGAGACAAATAGTCAGTTCCACATACAGCATGCATTTAATAAAAGGCATATTTGAGTAGGTGTTAGCGAGGCACAGCTTAGTCAAGACAAACTGAGGTCTTAATACATTCTCAAACTGAAGGTGCTGGTTCTGGATCAGGTTTTTGCATATGATTGTGCAGACATGCCTAAGGGCAATGAACTTTAGGCAAGACACTACAGATGAACAGGCAAGACACTGTAACTAATAGATACACCATACTTTTCCCTGTTGATTAATCCATCAAGACGATGAGGTGCAGTAACATACCTGTAACTGCTGTATTTGTGCATAGGTCCAGTCCAGTTCAATCTGGTTATAGCGTTTATGTAGGCGATACATCAGGGCAGGTTCAGAGACAGGATGGACAGCGAAGGCGTTCTTAAACTGTGCACTGTCCTCGCGCTCGGGGTCCACGTTCTTCTGCAGCTCAAAGTAACGGTATGTCATCTCCTACATGATTTTAAAAGATCACAACAACACGAATCATAATCAGACTAAAACAGATTCTCTCTCTCTGTGTGCTTTTGTTTTGGTCTGTAATTATAAACATAAACAAGCAACTGAAAATGACAAAGCACATTTCAGGAGAAAATGACACTGGGTTACTTAGACAAGGCTCAAACCACCAGTTTTAGTAAATAGGTTTTAGCTTTTCATTTACATCCTATTTAAAAAAACATTTCCCCACCTGATGCTTCTCCACACAGCTAAGACCCAGGTAATCGATGATGCAGCGACCAAGCCACTCGTCTGGCCTGACACTGAGGATGTCATTTCGGCAAGAGTCCAGGTGGGGCTGCAGTCGGGCTAGTAGGCTACGTGACAGCAGATACCCATATCCACCATGGCAATATCGGGCACGTTCTTCACCCCCGATAAACTCCTCTGCCCGTCCCATGTACATATCCTGTCCCGCACTAAGATGATTAACCAGCTCCACGACCCTTTCAGCTTGTGTGTATGTATCATCTTGTGCAAGGTAAAACCAGTCATACTCATTCCCGTGGTGTTGGTGGAGGTGCCGTATAGTTTCATACATAAGCCAGACGGGTCGGTCATCCCCATGAGCAACAACAGCCATGCCATGCGGTGCCTTTGTGCTTCGA